CCCGCGCCGCGTATCCCCGCGGGCCCCTCTTTTGTCTCCCACCCGCGGGTTGCAGGCCGAGTTTGGGGAAGCGAAGTGGGCGAAAGCCGCTCTTGGGACGCTTCTGGAATCCTTAAATGGGAAAGGCGCTCCTCTCCCCGCCCCGGAGCTGCGAGGCTGATATTCGTGATTTGGCTCCCGACGCTGTGGGGAGGAACAGGGGAGAACAAAGTGAGTTTCGGGCGAGGGTCGAGCGAGAGGAGCAGCCAGCCCGCCCCCAAGTCGCCGCGGGAAGGGGCCCGGGCCCCGGAGCTCCCGGAGCTGCTTCACCTGTTGTCCTGCGCGGCCTCCGCTCCGTGGCCTGGTGATTCCGCACTTCAGTTTTGGAAAACTTTCTGCCGGATTGCCTGGACCCTTTTTTCTCTTTCCAGACTCCTAGTGGAAAGATTTGGCAAGGAAAAAAAAAATGAGCTTGCGTCAAGGAAGAAAAATAATATGCTGTGTGTTAGGGTCCGGCGTCTGAGCGTGGTACACTTTCATGCTCTCATATGTTTTAATTTGGTCGAACTGCTGCAGGTTTTCTCTTTTAAGCGGTTAACAAACTGTTCAGAGTACATACTATGAACTTGGCACCTGTGTTGCGTCATTTAATCCTTATTAACGATTCTGGTTTATTGTATTCCTCATTATTTTAGAGGAAGAAACCGAGACGCAAAGAGGTTAACTTGTCTAGGGGACCTGGGATTTGAACCCAGGAACATCGTATTCTGGCAAACGAATTAGGAAAAAAAAAACTGTTTGCAAACACTTCTACGTTTAGGAACATTTTTCAGTTACTCTTACTTGAAATTATCGTTATTTTGTTGCTTGAGTTGAAACTATTGTATTTACTTGTGAGAGGAGTTAAGCTTTGAATTAGAGTGTAACTTAATGCGTCTCATTGTTTTCAGTTGTTGAAATAAAGAATGTGAACCAGACTTATTTAGATTTTTAAATTTGAAGCTAAAATATGGGCAATTCTCTGATCCAGGAATGGGGGGAGTGTATGAAAGGCCGATTGAAATGTAGAATGCGTTTTTAGTAGAACCAGTCTCGGTTCTTGTTTAATTTTTCCTCCATTTTCCATGGAGCCCAGTTTAAACTTCTACTTTCTTCACTTCTCCCCACCGTTTACAGAAGAGTTTGAGGCACCTAGCGGGAGCTCCTTCACTGAATTCCTTCTGTTACTGGCTTCTTAACCTTCCGTCAAAGAGGGATAATTTTTTTTTTTTTTGTCTTTCTTATTAACACCTTGGGTTTTTTTTTTTTCCTTCTAACTTTCCTACTTAGTGGAGTGTGAGTTATTTTCTCTGTCGTATTTGGGTTCTTTAAAGTACAAATGTTCTTAAGATTTCTTCAATTTACAAAAACCTTAAGTCTGCTACTCCTTCAAGCTGTCTTGTTGCTACTTTTCCTTTTCAAATCTTATTAACATTTTAAAAAGCTTATTCGTAATAAAAGTAACACATGGTTGTTAAAGAACTGAGAACTAGCGCAACATTGAAATTAAAATTTAATCATTCACAATCCATCTCTAGAGATTGCCAAGAGTAGTCTACTTTTCCTGACTGCCTGGTTGGTGGCTAGCCACTCATTTCTTAACCCCTTGTTATCTGGATTTCACCTTCACAAGGAACCTAATCAACACATTTAACCAGCTTTTTCTAAGTCCTCTCCTTGAGCTTTCTGTAACATTTAACATCGACTTCACATTTTTCAGATGCCTTTCCTTGGCTTTCATTCATCTATACATTTCATTTAACAAATACGCGCTGTATTCTAACACAGGGTGCAAGGCAGTAAGATACAACAGATCCTTCCCTCATGGAGCTTAAAGTCTAGTGGGGAAATACATATTGAAAAATAAAGTCTCTAGTTAAATATAATTGTGATTTTAATTAAGGTGCAGAATATTATAAGAACTTCAAATGGAGAGCTGACCTGGTGCTTGTGGTGGTGGGAGAATCTGGGAAAGATTCCTTAAAAATGCTTTGTTGGAACCCAGGCAGATTGTGAAGGATGAGCAAGAGTTAACTATTAACTAGATGAAGGGGGGCCTTCTGTGACATTATACTGACTTTGTTCCTCTCCGCCACTTTTCTGCCTAATCTGTTCCTCCTTTCCTCTTTAATATGCGTTCTCCAAGTTTCACTTTTTAGATCACTTTTCTCTATGTCTCTAGTCCCTTAGAATGATTGTTCAGACCTTTCTGTTGGAATAATTCTGAATTCTTTGTTCTTTATTTGTCTTCTGAATCTGGTTTTTTTTTTTTTTTTTTTTTGCAGTTGCTTTATGCGTATCTGTACCTGATTGTTCTGAGCTTCTTTTTCTTAACTTGCTTCTTTGGTGTTCTTTATTTCTGTTGATGTGATACCAAACCCAAACCTTTTCCCATTTCATTATATCTTGTCTGTAGCCAGCATCTGTTGATTCTGCTTTATGATATTATAACTCTTCTGCTCTCTATTCTTGCTAACTGTGGGACAGTTCTGAATTCGTATTGGTGTCAAAGTAGTAGTCAAATCATAAAATGAGTTGGGCAACTTTCTTTCGTTTTCTCTTTTTCAGGATAATTTTAGACTGGGATTATCTGTTCCTTGAATGTTTAGAAGACCTCACCTATATGACCATTTAGGCCTCGATCTTTTTTTCTGGAGAGGACTTTGAATAACACTTCAATTTCTTTAATAGCTGTTGGTTTGTGTTGATTTTCTGTTTCTCTTATGAATTTTAATGTTTCACTTTTTTTCAGGAATTTATTTATTTTCAAATCTAGTGTTATTTGACTTTCACATAGTTCTCCTCCCACCACCCTGTGACTCCACCCCCACCGCCTAACTCTGAATCAAATTCTCATCCCACCTGGACTAATGTTATGATTTTCTTGCCTTCACTTTTCTCCTTTGTCTAATCTTATGCATTTCTGCCTAAATTAATCTGTAAGCTCAGTTCTTACCACTTTGCCACTCAGAAGTTTCCAAGGTCTTCCATTAAACGAAATATTTTTTATGGTATTTGCTTGGTTTACCTGGTTTTTTTTTTTTTTTTTTTTTTAAAAACAATCCTCCCTCCCTCCCTCAAGACGGAGTCTTGCACTGTCGTCTGGGCTGGAGTGCAATGGCGCGATCTCAGCTCACTGCAACCTCTGCCTCCTGAGATCAAGGGATTCTCCTGCCTCAGCCTTCCAGGTAGCTGGGACCACGCCTGGCTAATTTTTGTATTTTTGGTAGAGGTGGGGTTTTGCCATGTTGTTCGGGCTGGTCTTAAACTCCTGACCTCAGTTGATCCGCTCGCCTCAGCCTCCCAAAGTGCTGGGATTACACAGGTGAGGCACCATGTCTGACCTTTACAACAATTTTTATACAAATATTTTTTTTTGTCTAGCCTAGCAGTAGCTGTTGGACTGTCCTGATCTGACTGTTGGATCTTAGGAACAGCGAACCATGGAGAGAAAGGAGAATGGGTTTCCTATCACACTAAATTTTGAAATAGGAACCATTTCTTTCCCTTTTCTACTTTCCCACCTTTTACTAGTTTTTAGGCTTTAGGATGTCTTTTTAACATCACAAGGTTCATATTGACCAGGTTGGACCAACTTTTTAACACAGGATTAAATGTTGAGTTGCATTGAGTTATGTCCATTGTAAGATACACTGTACTTTTACAGACCACTTAAAATATGCTTCTAGTTGTGAGAAGCCATTGATTGTAAGGTGCACTCCAATTCCAGAGATGCTAAAATATGAAAAATGGATGCATCTTAGAATTGATGAATAGGGTTTCTCTCCCTAATCAAAGCTCTTGCATGTGCCTGGAAATGCCCAGTAGTGTTTTTTGAGAAGAA